TGTTGAAATAGCAGACTATTATCTACTCCAGATTTGGATTTTAGAATAGGGAGCTCAGGAGTTAGAGAAGAAATGAAGAACACAGAGAGATTTCAAAATGAGCAGATGAAAAATTGGTAGAAAAAATGTGAGTCTGTAATCTCACTTTTCAATTCCACACTCAAACACGCACACTACATGCTTGATATAGAAACAGTTAGGAATAAGAACATTCCTCTCTTACATCAGCTCAATCTAACCATTCAAACCTCTACCCTATGAGATAAGAGACACATGGCAAATACAAACACTCATACCTCAGCTTAAGATCCTAGCCATCCATTGAACTATGATTCAATGGTTCATATTTAAACACTCAGCTAGCATACTTACAGAACCTAAACAGAACATTTCAGCTAATTACACTTATATTTCAACAGATACTGCACAGGCAATTGCAAGGGGTATTGATTTTAGATTCCAAGATATACGACACCTGTTCTACAAGGAATTTGTACTGGAATCAAAAAGAGAAACACGAAGAAAGAGAAGACAAAGGACAAATCTCAAAAATGTTTCATTTGTCTCAAAACTTCCGTACGCATGATGGTATACTGAAGTTATCACAGAGCATAATTGATCTACTTTACCATTTTTTCCCCCAATCTATTGATAAATTGAAACCTGAAACCAGTCCAATATATGGGGAAGCTCCAGTTTTGCTTGAATCTGGAAAAAATGAGAATATAATCATGAAGATTTTTGGAAGTAGTGATACTTTTTGTGGAAATATAGTTGGCTTTGGAGCGGAGATAGTTGGCTTTGGAGCGGAGCAGGTTATTTTGGTGCGTGATAAGCATGCTCGGAACGAAATTTCCAATCAAGTTGCAAAGCGAGCTCTTGTTCTTACTATATTGGAGAGCAAGGGCCTTGAATTTCAGGTCATTACAAAATTTACTTATTTAGTTTGTTTAATTCTATAAAACATATTACCATTGAGGATTTTCATTACAAGACTATTCCACTTGTTTTTCTTTATCTTTCTGGAAATCTTTTTGGCTTCGTTTTAAAACGATTATTATTGTAAGGTTCACATCAGACATTAGAAAAGAGATTTGTTGCAAATTTATTAAGTTATATGCAGAACTCTGTACAGCTGATATTGTCGATGTGATTGAAATATATATTTGGTTTGTTCGTTCTTGTAGGATGTACTGCTTTACAACTTTTTTGGATCATCACCATTGCAAAATCAGTGGAGGGTGATATATGATTACTGTTGGAAAAAATGGCTCACCTAAAAGGATACAAAGTTTTTTGGCGCTCAAAGGATGATTTTGAATCTGCCTAAAAGCGACCGGTCGCTGGACATTTGCGACCGGTCGTTTTGAAGCAGATTCGAAGTCTGGAAGCAAAACTGAAGAGCGACCGGTCGCAGGC